CACCGAGCAGACCCCACCGAGTAGCAACACCGACAGCAAACCCACCGAGCAGCCCCCACCACAGTAAACCATCGAGCATCACCGAATCACCGAGCAAGCACCACCGAGCAACAACACAGCACCAACAACAACACCGACGAGGCGACACCCACCGAGCATCACCAGCTTTTTCAGATCTAATTTTAATTTAGATAAGAATTTAGATCTAGTTTTATTTTTTTTTCAAATTTCATCTTTTATATGCATTTATGAACTGTTAGGTTATGTTAGATTGCTTTTAATTGGTTAAATTTATGGATTATTTGCATTTTTTGAGTTGAAATTTGGTTAAGGTTTGTAAATTTATTGATGTGTTAATGAATTTGTTTCAATTTATTTGCATAATGAGTAAACTTTTTGATCTAATTTTATTTATTTATTTATTAATTTTTTTTTTATGTTTGTCAGTTGCGGTGGAGGCTTCAAATCCCGTGGTGGCAGAATAGTAGTGCGGTGGTGGCAAAATAGCAGTGCGGTGGTGGCTTCAGTAATTTTAATTTTATTTTTTTTTAATTAAAATGCAATATTACAACAATTTATCAATGGAAATATATATTTTTATACATATGTTTAGTTTTTGTGTATTAATTTCTGCGAAAAAAGCAATTTTTATTTTTTTAAGGCATAATGGGGAGTGGTTCAGAGCCCAAACCGCTTCCCATTACCTTCAAATAGGAAGCGGTTTAATGGGATTCTATAGGAAGTGTTGTACGGATTACTCACTCGGTCTGGGTTACTAAGTCGGTCAGGGGTTACTTGGTCGGTCAAGGGTTACTCGGTTGGTCAGGGGTTACTCACTCGGTCAGAGTTTACTAAGTAGGTCAGGGTTACTCACTCAGTCAGGGGTTACTAAGTCGGTCAGGGGTTAGTCGGTTAGGGGTCACTCGGTCAGGGGTTACTCGTCGATTACGAGTTACTTAGTGTGTGTCAACTGGCCACACGGTATGGCCAGGCCAGCCGCACACAAAAGTTGCTGATGATAATAATAACGCTAGGGAGCACATGCATATTAATTGAAAAAGAATGAAAAATTTGTTATTCATGCATCGCTTATATATCCGATACAATACACTTGTAATAAATACAAAACACTCTCGATGAACGAAAAAGAACACAAATCAAATCAAGCATGATATCCAAATTAATGGGGAAAAAAGCCACACTCAAACAATGAAAAAAATTTAGGGTTAGGAAGATTTTGGCTTAGAAGAGGTAGTGATTTTAAGCTTTCTTGAACTTAACTCTAAGAGGTGGAGCACCAACACCCAAAAGCCAAGTTCCATCTTCTTGAACATAAACACCCAAGTCTCCGCAAATGGCCTCTTTGTAGCCGGGAAGATCATTAGCACTAGGGCAATACACCAACTTATAATCAAAATGAAATCTTGGGAAAAACCTCTCGATCTTAAACCAACTCTTGACGGTGTTAGGACCACGCAAGCCAGTTGAACCACCAAGAATCACGTATTGTGTTTTGTTTTGTTGGTTGCCGGGCTTCAATGTCCATATAGGGGATTGGTTGCATCCATTAGAGGATGTAAAAGCTATGTTCATGTCTGTGGAGAATGTAATATTGGTGGAGCCGGACTTGATTGGTTTGAAAGTTGTAGGAATGCCTAGAGCCTTTGTGTCTGTCTCTTGGACTACATTTAGAGGGCAATCTTCGTAGGCATTTTTAGGTCTTGTTCCTATGCCACCACCTCGGCGTTGGACGACTGGGAGGATGTAGTACTTTTGGCCACTTACCACTGGTTTAGCATCCGTGTCAAAGATGTTCACTATGGTCACGGGAGCAGCTGGTGGTGGTGGTGGAGGGGTTGGGCCGTGGTCGTGATCATGGTCATGATCATCATGAGCTGCTGGTGGTGGTGGTGGTGGAGGAACTGTGCCATGATCATGGTCGTGATCGTGGTCATCTTGAGCAATAACAGTGGTTAAAGTAAGAGCGAGCAAAAGGAGGAGGAAGGAGGAAAGAATAGGGCTATTATATTTGTTAGCCATTTTTTGAGCTTCTAAGTTAGAATTTGAAATGATAATGTTAGCTAAGCTGGATGGATGCCAAGTATAACAATATGTCTCACTATTTATAGAAAACACATATGTACGTACGAGGAATACTTGAAGCGTTGACTTTCTTATGGATAGTGGTTTGTACTTGTACTTGTACTTAGTGGAGGGCATTAACGTTTATGTAATAAGCCTATAAATAACTAATCTACATCTGTTGTGTAATGTGTATGACTTCTTTCTATTTATGTGTTCATTGTGTCAACATATTGTTTGAATTGACTTTGTACATGCAATTTGTTTCGAGGCCTTTAGTTAGTTAGTTAGTGGGCATGCAATAACTAAAATATCTTTTAAATTCATGTTTTTGGTTATTTATGTCAACAATTGATGTAATTTCCTTGTAAAGGATCACATGCATAGTGTCCATAAAAAAGCGACCAGTCAAAGTGAATTATTATAAGAGAGAAGTATTTCCTCCGTTTTATTTCAGTTAAAATATTTGACTTTCTCCACAATTCACATAAGTTACTTTGACTTTAATTTGTGATTTATTTTAAGTGTCTCTATAAGTATTTTTTTACTTGTTGCTTCAATTGTTATCTCTTATTTTATGTTTCCGTTTGTAATTCTCTTTCCTTAAATTTGGTAAAGAAAGGAAACTTAATGTGAATTTGAGAATTTAAAACTATAAACAATCCGAGCCAAGTAGAATTTTGACATGTTCGAGTGAAACTTGATAAGAATTATCACCGCTAATATCAGCTTGAGCAAGCTTTTAAAATGCGGCTAACATTTGATCAAATTAAATACTCCGTAATCAACCTTATCAAAATCAGACTATATCACCATATTTTAAGTGAAGCGAACAAGTTCTTAAAACAGATTGAATGTGATTTTAGGAATTAGGATGATCAAATAGGGGAGAGAAAGTCACAAGTCATCCCTACCTTTTTAAAAAGTATGAGAAAACACTTATAGATAGTCTGAAGACAATTATATCCTAAAAATGTTTGTTTACTTATATGCCCCTATTGAATTGATGTTAATTGCATATAAGTTTTTCCTTGTGTGATTTAATGATTTAACTACAATGTGGCCTGAACGATGCAACGAGTTTTATTTTGAATATCAATAAATAGTATTTGAGCAATAAAATCATAAACTTTTTATTTTTTTATTTTATTTATTTATTTATTTATTTTTTTAAACAGTGAACAATAATAACTAATGAAACTAAATACTCTCAAATTGATGCTTTGTACAAAGTGCTTAGTGTATTATAATTGAATATGAAACATAAATTAAAAGATAGCCACGTGACACATATCTTGTATTAGGAAAGCTTTTTAATATATAAGTATAGACATAGATTTTTATGATTAGTGTTTGAGCATACCCTCTAAAATATTTATTTACTTATTTGCCCTCATAAATGTTAGTTGCTCTTTTTTAGAACTCCTAAAAACTTTGTGCGAACATTTATACTCCTAAAATTATTTGTTTACATATCCTCCTTAATGTTATCCTGAAAGACTTCACTAAACATAACTAGCTATGACACGCATATTGCGCGCGGTAGCCACCCTAGTACTATTGAAAAGAAAGATCCGACCACTTTTACAAACAGTTCCTAATTTATGGCCCTATAGAAGTGGGGTGTACAAAGTGTGACTTAGGAACTGTTTGTGTACACGGAAGAAAAGCTTGAAGGAGAAAAAAAAAAAAAAAAAAAAAAAAAAAAAAGAACAAACTTCATAATAGAGAATAAAATTCAGAAAACTAATCATATAGTGCCATGCAACTTTGCTGACCTTTAATGAGAAAGAAACACATGAAGCTATGAATGACAATCTCAATCTACAACAGATGGTCCCTTAAGAAGGCATGATGAAAACCACCAGAGACTACGGCACAACCACCACAATCTAGCTTCTAAGACAAACATTGGCCAAGTACTCCATGGAAAATAACCGTCGATGTATCTTCTTAGGCCCTTAGTCTAAGGGCCATAGATCACCAAGCTAATCACTAGTGCAGAACCAGCAAAAAAGTTCAGCACACAGCAAGAGCAGAGAAAAATAGTTTCTACATTGCTAGGCAGATTGTACGTGTATCCATAATTCAATCCTACACATTTCCAAAATTCACCAGAATCACCACTGCACGTCTACACCAATACTTGGGCATCACCAGTTATCACTTCTTCAAATTTCCATAAATTAGCTTCAGCAGTCGAGCACAGGCACACAGCAGCCGCTTCAACAATCACTAAACTTGATCAGTTGTCATGAATCTATAAACCTACTGTAGTAGGTCTTGTTTAACATAAGGAAATTGGTAAACACTGCCTAAATGATGATTTTGTTACATACTCTGTAATTCACTGTGAAGCCATGCTCTGTTTGTCGAAGCATGACAGCTTCAAAATGAGACCTCAATCAGCATTAAACAGATTCATAGCTATAACAGAGACATAAAGCTTACTCAAATACTCTCACATTACTTATCGTCATAGCAAAAAGTTTTTCAAACATCTCTCGAACCCTGCTCATCTAGTATTCTAAAGTGCATTTCACACATACACACAATTAATCAGCTAAATTGTACAATATAAAGCTATAATACGGAGTATCATTGTCCGAATTGGCTGCTTCAGTGCTTCCCATTAGAAAATACAACAATAACTACAATTCCTCCACGAAGACAAACAGCCAATGGAAAAATTGTTCATTCACTATGCTTCACCCTCGTGTTGCTTATAAGCAAACCTTTACCAAGCAATCAGGGCAATGATGCATAACATTTTCAGCATTGCAATATGGATTATCATAAACATGTGAATACATTCCAAGCTTATCCAATAAACAAATATATTCCAAGATCAATATTCTCCAACACTCCAACCCCATCCCAACAAAGCACTTGACAGCTTCATAACTCCAAGATTAAGTTCAAAATGCAATGCGCTGTGAAGCCATGCTCTGTTCGTCAAAGCATGACAGCCTCAGAACGAGACTTCTTTCAGCATTCAACAGTAACATAGCTATAACAGACATATAAAGCTTACTTGATGCCACATATTGCTTATCCTAATAGCAAACAACTACAACTTTCAGTCATCAAACACCTCTTGAATCCATCTCATCCAATTCTGTATCGTGCATTTCACAGTAATCACAGGCAAGTTTTATCAGCTAAGATAAAGCTATACATTTACTGTCGGAAAGGGCTGCTTCCCAACAGAAAACACATCGACTGTAATTCCTCCACAAAGATGAAGACAAACAGATGGAAAAATTGGTCATTCACTGCACTTCGCCCGCATGTTAGATGCTACTATGATTCATAAAAGTACATTGTACTTACTCAATCATTATAAGAAGTCACCTTTACCAAACAATGAGAGATGCATCTCATTTTCAACATTACAATATGGACTTCTCCATATATCTTAAAACATGTAAATAACCTTATCCTAAAAACAAATATGAAGTATATACCAAGATGAAATTTCACTAAAACTCCACATTCCTACACATTTAACTCTAACATGGAGGTGTTCACAGTGGACAACATACATCCTCACTTAATTATAGCTCTCTCAAATGAACAAATGCGAGCTTTAGGAGTGTCATAGACCTCGGCGCATAGTTAAATTCACCCTTTATCATATAGCTCAATCAACTTTAAAAAACTAGATTAACTACTTTCCATGAAGAAATGATTTAGAACTAAACCCATTTATATTACGCACATATGGTTTCAATATCACCAAAACTTGTGATATAAAACTCTTAAAACACTCATAGAAGAGTACTAATTTCATATAACCTCCATAAAATAAATAAAAAAAACCCTAATTTACATTGATTCCACCTTAAACAAGAAGTATAAACTTCCCCAAAACAAAAACAGGGAAACAAAATACTTCAAAAAAAAAAAAGATTAAATTGCGTTACCCACAAGCAGCCCACAAGTGTTCCCAATCAATCGAGCCTCTTCCTTTATCTTCATGATCCATTTTTTTAATGGAGCTCCGACAAACAGGACAAACGGGCGACTTCAAAATCCATTCATCAACACAATTCAAGTGAAAAACATGATTACAACCGGGTAAAACCCGGCAAATTTCACCCTCCAAAAGATTATCCAAACAAATCGCACAAACTTCAGAACCTTTGAATCTCGATTTCGGAAGAGTTTTAAGCAATTCTAATGAATACCCAGATGATAAATCCCCGTTTCCTGAAATGGGTCGTCGTTCGTTACGGCGGTGACGGTGCCGGAGAGCGCCGCCGGCGATGCAAAGATGAATAAAGATTATGGCGGCAACACCGACAAAGATGAAGAAGAGAGAGATTACGAACGCCATAATTAGGGCTTGAAGAAGGATTGAGAGGAGTTTTGGGTTTGATTTTGTGAGATTTTCCGGTGGTCGGAAGTCGCCAGAAAATTGATGGTTAGGATTGTTGCCGATGATGGCATTTTGACGGTTGTGATTGTTCCTCGGCATTCACCTTGATTTTTTTGTTCTTGGTAAGAGTGATAGATATTTTTATTTTACTTTTGTTTTTCTTTTGTTTTTTGTGTAAGGAGATCCAATGATGAAGCAATGGGGTTGAATTTTGAGAGGAATATATTCGAGGATAGAAAAAGAGATATTCTCTTATTTATTGGGGTTTTTTTTTTTTTTTGTTTTTTTTGTTTTTTTTTTTTTTTTTTAACTTTAACTTTTTGAGGGATGGATTGTGGGGCCAAATTGGGTTTGGAAATGTTGGATTGGACCGTAATAAAAGCCCATTGGATACGCGGGGCTTTAAAAACGGTAGGAATTTGGAAACATAACCACTATGCATACTACTGAAAAAACCATGGGCAGAAAGGCAGGGATAAGGTTTACTATAATAATCTATGTAATCTAAATTTTTTTATAAACAAGTTTTTCCGATTAATGAAGCCTTAGCATAATGGAGAAGAATAATGGAATGAATACTATAGGATGGGGAAAACGTAACGGAGATACGTGGTATTATAGGATATAAACTCCATACAATTAAATACTTCGTAATACGGAGTATTAACATGTACATTACGAAGTATCAACATGTACGTAGTACGTAGCAAATATAAATATAGATGATTAGATCATCTTTAATGATGAGAGTTGAGGGAGTTTTTTTTAAGGAGAGAGAGAGTATTTTTTGCAAAGGATAGTAAGTTGGTATCTAAACTTAGCAACTCCAAAAGAAAGTTGCTAAGTTTGGATACCCAACTTTGAGTCTTATTTGACAAGAAGTGTGAACCCCTTATTAATATTATAATATATTTGTAATTTATTTAAATTTTAAATTAATTTTTTAAAAAAACTTACAATATAGATTTGGTGGGCCATAAATTGAAAGTAACATTAGTATACTTTAGAGAGTTTTACAATTGAAAAATTAGATTTCACATGAGTTGCTAAATTAAGAAGTGAATTAGATATTACTAATGAAGATAAAAAACAACTCATTTTATATTTCAATATTCAAAGTTAAGTTTCATCAATAAAGATGGTCTTAGATATAGATTGATTGCATATCATATTTGGACCATCCTGTTGTACGATTATTTTAAGCCGCCATTGAGCTACATATATACGTGGGGGTTTTTGAAGGAGAGAGTCGAAGATGGGAAATATAAGCAGGCCACTACCAAAAAATCTATGGGTAAAAAGGCAAGGATAAGGACATTCGTACACTAATATGATCTCTATTATACAAACGACAAGGTTACAATTACAATGCTATTCTTATTACTATACTTTCTCGGTCCTCTTTTAGCTGCAACGTGTGAAAATTTACACTATATATATTCTTTCCTACTTGATTTATATTTGGGGTAAAATATAGTTATATGAAATCTTGATATTTTCGTCAAAATATTATTTGTATAAATTTTAAAGATTTATATACAAATAAAAATATAAAGGGTTAAAGTTATTATGCATTGACCAATGTAAGAAGTTCAAGCGTTGTTATTAAAATAGAATAGGGGAAGGATAAGATATCATCAATTATTGTTAATTCAATAATTTGAAACAAATTGAATTATTAAGAAGAGTAAATTAAATATGGTTTCCCATCTAAAACATATTACCATACATAGGACTCAAAAAAGTATAAATTATTTGAGGGATGTATAGTGTGTGAGGAAGCTGGATTATTAGAAACTAGCCTTTTAGTCCATTCGATTATTTAGGTTATTTTTCTTGAAATGTGTTGCTTACTTGTGTTGTATGTGTAAGAACGTAATAATTACATTGATCTTGCAAAACAAAAGAAAAATTTGAATACTAATTAATTTAAACTAAATTGAAATAATTTAAAGTGAAATCCTTGAAATAATAATAATAATAATAATAATAATAATAATAATAATTATTATTATTATTATAATTATTATTATTTTAAAATAATTATGCCAATATAGAAGGATAAAATTATTATTATTATTATTATTATTTTAAAATAATTATGCCAATATAGAAGGATAAAAAAAAAAAAAAAGTAGTATGATTAAAATATGTTACATAAAAAAATAAAAGTATTACATACCCATCATACCTAAAAAAAATAAAGTTAACTTCATAGACTTCTTACATTGTATATTCTTTTATTTTAATTTTTATATTAAAAAGAAAATATAAAAAGGAAAGATTAAGAGAGGTGACATGTGGCATATAAGTGATTTGTGGTGACATGTGGCATATGAGTGATTTGTGGTTTGTGTTTTTATATAATATAAGTATAGATATAGATATAGATATAGATATAGATTAGAAGCTGTGATATATTATAATCATTTTAATTTCCATGTGTAAATGTATTTGCTAAGATTTTTCTGTGGAGTATATGTTATTTAGCAAGTTATTTCTATAACCCTTTTCTAATTCACATTACATACTAGCTCATATACGTTGTTGGTTTCAATTACTAACAAGTTGAACCGAAGTAGTAAGGAAAAATGTCAATGTCAATTAAGATATCACTGGTTATTGCACTCATCTCCATCACTACTAGTCTAATTTCATTGTCATCTGCTATTCCCGGAACAGCCACTTATTACTCATCGTATACACGTAAGGATAATATACTCCTAGCATTTTATCAATTTTAATTTTTTATTTAATGCTCCCGATTAGTCAAAAAATACGTTTGAAAACACTTTGTCATGTTTTCTTAGGGTTCGTTTGGCATCGTTGTGGTTTTTAGTTTTTTGGTTTTTCATAATCACGTGATACATGTCATATAATAAATAAAAAAAATAATCAAACTTATTAAAATCATGAAAATTTTGAAAATTGACAACAAAAAAAGTGAAAACACCTTTTTCTTGTTTCTTGTTTTTGGTCTTTTGTTTTAAGAAAATTACAAAACTGAAAAAAAAAACGATGCCAAACAAGCCCTTAATTGTAAGTTATGTTTTGTGATTGACTTGTTTATGTATGCTATTGACATTACTACTTGTTTTAAATAAGATTAGAACAGACCTTAAATAATAATAATAATAATAATAATAATAATAATAATAATAATAATAATAATAATAATAATAAGTTCAAATCAAGTTAGATTGATAGGATTAGAAAAAATAAATAATTCAAAACATACACATTTAAATAAAAAAAAAAATTAGATCTATCAAATCGAATCAAATAAAAATTGTAGAGTGATTTGATGAGTATTATTAGGCTATTTTCACTTTGACCGTGTGATCTAGTCAGATCTTAGCTTTATTTTTCTTTATGATAAAAAGATATGCTCTGATCTTATCAAACATAAAAAATAAGTTCAATTCAGATTAAATCAGAAAAAAAAAATATAAGCACTTTTTTTTTTTTTTTTGAGTAAAAATATAAGTAATTTTATTGATTAACAACGGAGTAATTAATATCTTTTGTGCGGGTTGCATAATATGTAGCATCGGCATGCAATGGAAGTATTCCAGGAGGAACATTTATAGCTGCAGCTGGTGATGAATTGTGGGATGGTGGTAAAAATTGTAGGAAAATACTTGAGGTAGCGTGCACAGGTTCATTGTATCCATTTCCACATCCATGCAAAATTGGGAAGAGTGTTTATGTTATAATTGTGGACCGATTCCCTAATTGTGTTGGCACTATTGACCTTTCTAAAGAAGCATTTGCTAGTATTGCCGATCCTGTTTTTGAGGGTGTCATTACCATTGAGTATCAACCGTAAGTTGACAACGTTAATTTACTCTCTTTAAGTCCTAAAATGACACAATTTATTTTGATACATGTTAATTAATTGTGTTGTACTAATATGTTTATATTTAAATGATTTAATTTTACAGGATTTGAAGTTTGCATCATGAGATACAGTGCCCAAGATTGGTGAATGATGTTAAAAAAATAAATAAAAACAAATATGTATCTTTGACAATGGCTAGATGTTTTGGAATGCTATTTGTTATGCATGTACAATGTCAAAGGAGACAATCAAGTGATTTAATATTAAAATTTTGGTTTATGCCAACATATATATAGAATTAAGGGTTTGGTTAGTTAAAGGTGCATTCCAATAATTTTTTATTTTTTTTTATTTTGTTAAATATAAATATCTAAAGTTATCCACTTTAAGACCTGTTCTTGTAAGTTTCTGGGCAGAGCAGAGCAGATTTCAACAGGGTAGAGCAGAGCAGATTTCAACATCATTATTATTATTATTATTATTTGATTTTTTTACTCTTTCTATAACATTAGAATATGTGTAAAATAATATAAAATATTAATTATTATCATTAAATATTAGTTATTATTATCAATTAATATTATATATTAATTATTATTATTATAAATATTAATTATTATCTATAAATATTAGTTATTATTATTAAATATTAATAATAATTATAATTATTTTTATTAAAAATTAATTATTATTATTAATTATTATTTTTAAGCAGGAGGACAGAGCAGCTCAAAAAAATAGGGCCTAACTCCAACAAGATTCCACCTGAACCACCCCACCCAAACCATATCTGTTATTCAATTAGCCTTATGAAGCGAACACAAAAATCTACTTTCTTTAATGTGGGGGTACACTGTACAAATTGCAATTCGCAACACCCGGCCCCCTTTTACATTTGTTTTAGCGAGAGAGAACACTTTGACTCTACATTATATATGGGTTTGTTTATGGGTTCAAGTGGTTCAACACTACTATACATCTATGGTACAAGTAGATATTATCTACGGAATAATATGTATGTGCACAAATTCTTCTATGTTGCTAGCATAAGATGTGACCACTTCACATATAAAGTAATTAATTAAGAAATATAGTATAGGGGTTAACGCGAGTCTCTGCGATGAACAAAATGACCGATGTATATGTGAGCATAGTTTAAACACATGAACTTTTTTTCACGCCTACAATGTCTACAACCGAATCAACAAAATGTCCAAATTATTTTCTTTTCAAATTACTCAATTCGGGTGTACTGTATTCAGTGTATCAATCTTCAAAATACCATTTATACATTCAATAATTTCAAACATATTAACTTATTGAACATAATAAATACGAGTAAATAGTATCCCATTGAAAGACTAATTACCAATTATAGTGTACTATGTAAAAACACTGAATTATTTGAGTCAATGAACAAGCTGAATTATTAGAAATTCAATGTTTCTGGAAATCACATTCCTTTTTGTAATTGTATTATTTGCTAAGATATTTCTGTGGAGTATATATAAACAAGTTATATCTGTATTCTCTGCAATCCACAAAAAATAGTACTAACACATAAGTAAATTTCCTAAGGAAAAATGTCAATTAAATTATCATTTATCATTGCGTTTGTCGCCACAATGGCTAGTCTAATTTCAATGTCTTTTGCTACTCTTGGAACTGCCACTTTTTACACAACATATATTCGTAAGTATAATACTCCTCATCATTTTTAGTTTTAATTGTCCCTATAAGTTGTAATACATGTCCGGAAAAATCTAATTCCTCCGTTCTAATATTATTTCAACAATTGGAGTTTTGCACTATTTATCACTCTTGTTTGACCACATAATATGATTTATACGTTAGGTAAAATATAGTCATTTGTGATTTTATTAGATTCGTCTCATAAAATACTTTCAAATATCAACTTTTTATAATTTTTACTCTTATACAAATACAATTATAGTTACTTAACATATAAAATATGTTTTGAGATGCGTAATTTCATCCTTATTGCAATATTATTGGAACGGAGGAAGTATTATATTTCCTTTATAAAATTTCGAGTAGTAATGCATGGAAGGTTTAATTCGTGATTGATTTCTTTATGCGCGCTATTAATGAATAAGAGTCAAAACATACACTAGAGATAATAAAATAATCTACTACGTATCCAATTTGTATCTTATGTATATCAAGCGTGATAAATAAGCTAGTACTTGGTACGTATTAACTAATTCTTTTGTATGGATACGATGTTGCGCAATATGTAGCATCTGCATGCTATGGAAGTACGCCGGAAGGGACTATGATAGCTGCCGCCGGTGACGAATTGTGGGATGGTGGTAAAATTTGCGGGAAAACGTTTCAGGTTACTTGCACGGGTCCAACAAATCCATATCCACATCCGTGCAAGGATGGGACGAGTGTTAGTGTTAAAATTGTGGATCAATGCCCTAATTGTGGTGGCACTCTTGATCTTTCTAAAGAAGCATTTTCAACTATTGCTGATCCTGTTGCTGGAGTGATAAAAATTGATTATCAACAGTAAGTTGATGAATTAAATTGATTTCTTCATTACTCTCTTAACTCATAAATTGAATAATCTTTTGGAAAATTGAGCAAATTATTTTTATTATTTGTATCGTTGCTCTAATAGTATTATTTAATTTTTACAGGATTTGAAGTTTATGTGACGATGATATACAGTGCCAATAACTCACAATGGCATGATTTATTTGGAATGTTATTTGTCATATTTTCGTTTACATACATAATTGTCAAGGAGACATTTTATGATTTATGAATAATAAAATTCAAGTAATTGATGTTATCGTTTTAAAGTAATACGGAGTATATTAATAAGTGAAAATATATTGGTTGAGGCACCGTTTAGTCCTAACTTAATTTAATAAGATGTAAGTATCTTTCTTTGAAAAATATACATTGGCATACATACCCTTCTATAAAAAGGGCCTACCTAAGTGATTCAAACACACAAGGTAATAATTTTTACATCATTATCTACTCTACATGACTACATCCACAAAATCAAATAAAAGAAATATATCGTCCTAGATTGATACATGTACAAACTACTCCCTCTGTACGTCTCTTAATATGTATATATTTGATTCACTTTTCTTTTAATTCGTCCCTTTAAACTTGCTCCATACTACAAATGGTTATACGGGATCACAACCTTTTTCTCAAAACCCTTACATCTGATCCCACCACTCTTTCTCTCCATCCACCGCCCTTAACCATAAATTAAAGGAAAAAAAAATAGCAACGAACTTCATTCGTTCCAAAGGGATATTAATAAAGAACGAAAAGAATAAAACCTATGCTAGTATATTATACTGGATTTGCCTTTCAATGCATACACACTCGCATGCTTAATATGATGAACTATCAAAATGAATTACTATAAGCCATTATGTCAGTACAAAATCTCCTTTGAATTTGTAAGTGGACCAAACTTTCCCACCTATCTGGATCAGATGGAATTTCCGGTGGAGCGGTATAACTGAACAAGAGTCTTCTATACAAATTAAATAGACATTAATTTTTTTGGAGAAGTATTGGCGCATAGGGCCTATGTGTCAATGAAACAAATAGGATGACATTTTTGTAAATAATGGGAACGTGAGTGGTGGAAAATTTAATGGAAAAAAGTACCACTACATGCATAATAGTACATTAAATGTACCACTGTATCATTAAGAGAGAGAAAAAAATAATAAAAACCTCAAATTGCCTCCTATTTGCTTGTGAAATATATAGGCCCCATGTGCCCAGAGGCACTCAATTTTTTTTAGAGCTTTTCTTCATTTTAGGTTATATATAGTCAATGCAACATTTTCTCCAAATTTGTTTGGTTTAAGAGCTTTTCTATCCGAGGTTAACATTTCTAATTATAATCAAAATATATAAAATGTAAAAATAATCAGTGATATGAATCACATAAATTGTGAAATGACTAATTAAATCGATTCACAACAGGCTAGGATAAATTATCTTATATCGAGTATATATAGTATGAATAATTATTTGAATGATATGATCAGTGGGATAATACATACAAACAAATTTTGCATTGCCTTGTCCAATAATGGTTGTTTGCAATTTGTTTTAATTTAGGCAGACTAAAAGTTATGGTTGCTTGGCAAGCAACACTTAAACTTGATAAGTTAAACTAGATCATCATCGAACGTTGGCACGTACCATTGTACTAATTAAAGACATCTAGTTTAATTTTATGTAAAAGCTAAGACTTTTCTTCGTAGATGTCATGTAGTGCTGCATTCCTAGCTAACAATCCTACAATCATACGTACATCCAAGTTTGATGAAAAAAGCTAGTTGATATATAAAGAAAACCTCTTTATCTCTAGGCCTATAAATAGGGCATTGCCTTGCTAAAAAAAAATTCATGCAAATAATTTAGCTTCAAATAAAGTTCATAATTTGTTAAAAGATTATCATTTCACATTTTCTATAATCCTAGAATAATCAACTAATAAAAAAACGGCTATAGCTACTCTTACTCACGCTATGTTCTTTGTGGCAATTCTTGCATGTTTTGCTTCAGTTGCATTTGGTGTTGCTGGAACCGCCACATATTACACAGTTTACACACGTAAGCATATCTTCTTCATCAAATAAATTTGCAATAATTTTTTTTTTACAAGTAGTTTTTATTAGATGGTGCAAATTTATTGAGAATATATAATAATGATACCGTACCATGCACATATATAGAGTTGTATTTGTATTATATGTAACGCCGCATGTACTTCTATTATGTGAACAGCATCGGCATGCTATGGGTGCCAAGAACAAGGGACAATGATAGCCGCAGTAAATCCAGGTCTCTTTAACAACCGGGCTGCCTGTGGGACTTAGGTATCGAGTTACTTGCACCGGTGCCAATTGTCGTGGTGGTAGCGTTATTGTAAGAGTTGTAGACCTTTGCCCTGGTTGTCCACCCCGTCGCTTTGATCTATCTAGGGAAGCCTTCTCTGTCATCGCTAATCCTGATGCTGGCGTAATTAACATTGACTATACCCGGTAATTAAGTCATCTCTCTCTATATATATAGACAATTCTTATATATAGTATTCGCACCACGCACACAGCAGTATAGCACTACGTTCCTCTCACAATCCATAGAATATAAAAGAGGTTTCCGAAATGTCACATACGGATCGGAGTACTATTTTTTTATGTTATATCTAACCAATGCAATGTTAGTTGTGAGTATATAAACTTCTATTTCGGCATTTTTTTTTTTCACAGGATAATTAAAAGAAAATCAAATTTTAAATTCTTCAATTGGTTGGTTGAAAGTAATTAATTAATAATAAAGAATCAATTTTGATTGAATAGTATAATTAGTATCTTTTTTTTAGTTTTTGCATGAAATAGTGTTTGAACATTTTTACTAATACAATGCTGTTTTGATCATATCTTTGATAGGGTTTGAATTGAGGCACGTACGTATTGAAGCTTGGAGAACGTCAAGCAGTATAATAAAGGGCCTAATTGAGATTATTGCATAATAATATACGACAGCATATATAATAAGCGTGTTTATATATAATAAATAAGTGAAGTAATGGACTACACACGGCAAATTTCTCATTTCTATTTTCTACCTTTATATAATAAAATAATTGTTATATTTCAACCAAAAAAAAAAGAGTGAGTTAATTATAAGGTTCGGCCGTCGTAACTCGTTTTATGCTTGATTAATTTTCATGTGCTTTGTATTTATATAATATAAGGTTGAGAAATAAAAGTATGCAAAGCTTAGCTTCAAATAATGCAAGTGCGTGATAGCCTCAATTTAAATTCATAGTATTTAAATTTTTCGTGGACATGTACGTATTATTGAGGCTTCATGCTTCAGACAAATTTACTACAGTACATATATACAAAGTACATAATAATATTGTACTCGTATATACAAGTATATATATTGTGTATTGTTATTTTAGGAAGCTATAATTTCTTCTACTATTGATAGTAAGTGATTTCATTGATAGTGAGTCAAATACTTGGAACGTAGGAAAGGTTAGAGAATGTTTTGAGTGGGACTGGGCTAAGGCTATTCTATCGATGGAACTTCCTTATACAAGTGAGGATGACTTCCCCTATTGGAAATACCACCCGTCAGGGAGGTATACAGTTAAACAGGTTACTACTATTTATCAAAGGATTCGGGGTTAGAAAGCACGAGTTTCTTGGCCAAGGACCAAAACTTTATCAAAATACTATGGAAAATGGAGATCCAGCCAAAGTGGAAATATTTTATGTGGAGGGTCTTCCATGATGGTATAGCGGTCAAAGCCAACCTGGCAAGGAGGGGGGTTCCTGTTGATACCGTGTGTGATCATTGCGGAGTTGGAGATGAGGATTTCCAACACCTTTTTAGGTTTTGTATTCAGGCAAAGGAAGCTTGGGAGACTGGCTCCTTGAATATTTGCCCAGACTCTCTTGGACCTATATCTTTGCGAAAATGGATCCAACACTTTATCCTGCTATTTTATAGTGAGGATGGAAAGCATGGCACCCGTTATGTCTTATTCATAGCAACACTTTGGGGCCTATGGAAAACTAGAAACGAGAAATGTTTCAATGGTGTGGCGGGGACTTCAGGACGAGTAAGGGAGTTCGTTAACTTTGCTTTGCAGAGTCACAAGACTTTCTTAAACCAAGCTAACACGGCTGGTGGGGGTGAGGATATGAGTAGGGAGGACCCAGCAATCCCACCGGGTTTTTATCATGTCCAGTTAGGGAAGGAGAAGGTTGGTTTTGATGACTTTATTGTGGAAGTTGATGGCTCCTGGGATAAGACAACAACGAGAGTAGGGATAGGGTGGGCGGTTAAACTTAATACGCATGGCCATGTGCTGGAGGAGGGAGGAGAACAGGGAGTAGCAGCGTCAGCTATTCAATGCGAGGCATGGGCTTGCCTGAAAGCTATAAGGTGGGCCCAAACTAAGGGCGGACATGGGATTCTTATCCTTTCTGATTCTAGCTCATTGGTGAACAACCTTCAAAATAAGACAAGTACGGAGGTCTCGATAACTTGGATTCTAAAGGAGATAAGGGAAGCAGGGGCGGGCTTCCAAAGATGCTCTATTCTAAAAGTGCCAAAGCAAACGATATTGCCAGACAATATCGTACAAATTTTTCTTTCCTATCGTAATTTTGTTCGTTCCTTTTGCTTTTGTCAAAAAAAAAAAAAAAAATTCTTCTACTATTACGGACTTACAGAGTATGAAGTAGTATATATTAACTAACCCTATGTAATTAGCACCTGTACAGTTGTACCTTTGGTATATATTAGGGTGGCTAACACGCACGATGTGCGCCCATAGCTAGCCCTGTCTGAGAATATCTTTCAGATTGGTTTTATGTCACAATTTTAGTTGTTTTAATGAGGGAGAATATGTAAATTAAAATTATTAGGGGTATAAATGTCCACATTATATTTTTAAGAGTTCAATGGAAGAGTCAACTAACATAAAGGAGGACAAATAAGTAGATAGCATTTTAACGAGTATAATTGTCCAAACACTATTTATAAGAATTATCTCAAACTTTTAAAGGCAGGCCCAAAAAAAAAAAAAAAATAAAGCCAAAAGTTATGTTGGTAAAAAGGTCTTACAAGTGGTCAAGGAAAAAAAAAACCTAAAATCCTCTCTGATCTCTCTCTTTTGTCCTCTCTGTTCTCTCTCTTCTAACCTAGCCACCATAGAAAAATTGTTCTTTAATTTAATGTTTTTAGCCAATAAAGATCACCAATAGTATGGTGATTATAGTCATTCCCTCCATATAGGGTTTAATATTGTTTGTTTGTTTGTTTTTAGTGTGTGAAAGGATACAAATTTGGAATATTTGTCTCACACATTTGTGGAATTGCGGGTCTGTTGGTATAAGGGTGCAGATTTAGAATATTCGTCTTGCAAATTTGCAAATCTTGATGACCAATCAAGTTTTATCACTTTTGCAACTATACATCAATGGAGTTTTGTCAAAAACGATGCAAAGACATCTAAAATTATCCAGGGCAGTTTAGAAGCGATGTCATTAGTTTAGGGGTGTTTAATAATTCTTGTACACTACTAGAAAACAGGCCATTTTCGACGGAAAAATTCCGTCGGAAACACCCTGAAATCCGTCGGAACCGATTGTCGGAAACACTTTTGTAGGAAAAACGGCCTTTTCCGTCGGAACAATGTTTTCCGACGGACTTTTTTCGTCGGAAGAGGAGTTCCGGCCACCGGAAAATTCGTCGGAAATTTCCGACAAAATACAAATCCGCCGGAAAATTCCGACGGAAATTCCGTCGAAAAATTCAATAAAAAAAAATGCCCCCACCCTCCACCACCAGCCCCCCTAACCCGTACCACCAGCCCACACCACCCACCACCACCCCAACGGCAGCCACCCAAAACTGCCCCTACCACCATCTAAAGCCACCCCAAACCCCCCACACCAAACCGAAGCCACCCCAACCCACACCAAACCGAAACCACCCCAACCCACACCGAAACCAACCAAAATCGCCAATTCTACTCTATCCACCACCCATTACATAAAAATCACCACCCACAATTCAACCACGACCACACTTCAACAACCACCAAAAATAAAAATCAAACCAAAAATACCGAAAATCACCAAAACAAAACAACAGATCTAAAACGAAAAAAATTCATAAAAAAAATGAGCGGATGAGAGAAAAATTGAACAAATCAAATATAAAAATACAGAAAAATTGAATATACAAATAAAAAAAACAGATCTAATACACAAATTAAATAATACAAAAATCAAAATCCGAAAAAAAAAAACGAAAAAACGAATAATACAAATATTGAAATATAAAATCAAAATCAGAAAAAAAAAACTCCGGTGACGGTCGGTGGTGGTTGTTGCGGTTGCTTGGTTCTTGATCTCGTCCGGTGAAGCTTTGCCGTTGACGATGTGTTATTGGTGGTATGTTGAGGGGGCGTCGTTGCTGGGGTTAAGGGAGTTGCTGGTGGTGGGTAGATGGCTGCTTGAGGTGAGAAAGAGAAGAGGAGAAAGATCCAGAAAGAGGAGAAAAAGAAGGGAAAGAGAAGAGGGGAGAAAAAGAGAAAGGGGAAGGAGAAAGAGGAGAGGAGAGGAGATAGGGGAAAGAAAGGGGGTGTAAATGAGAGGGGGCGTAAATGAGAAGGAGGGGGAGGGTTTTGGCTGGTTTAGACTTAGGGTTTGTTGTTATTATTATTTATTTTTTTAAAATTAGATTTCGACGGAAAATTCCGTCGGAAATTTCCGACGGATTTAAATTCCGTCGAAAATTTAGTGTTCCGTCGGAAAATTAAAAATTCCGATGGATTTTTATTCCGTCGGAATGTTTAATTTTTCCGACGGATTTTTCCGTCCGTCGGAAGCAGTCCATCGGAAATTGACCTATTTCTAGTAGTGGTATTGAGAATTTAGATCTCTTAAGGGATGATTGTAAGTGCAGAATGACTATTATTATTTAATGAAATCACCCCTCCCTATTCCATTCAAAAAAGAAATGCTACATTGGTAAAAAAACGGAAATAAAGCCACACGTGTGAATCACATGCATAAATAGAGGTATATATGTAAACAAACATTTTTAGGAATATAATTGACATTACACTATAAATAAACATTTTCAGGGATATAAAAAGATAGAGATATACTACGTATATTGAATGTGACTACTGCTCTAGCCTTCTTAGGGAGTCATGTTTGTAAATTATGGAACTTGAATGATTTATTAATTGGGGATTGGGATAACACCAAACGGGTTTTCAATTAGCCATATACATTGTCTTAGACTCTCCAAATGAGCTAAATTTTATCCTTTGGGCTAGGAGTAAACTAGGATTTTCGAGTGCCCTGTTATCATTTAATTCGTCACTAGACACATTGTAGCCTCACCATATAAATAGGCCGGATTTGAGATACTTAAAGTATATGTTAGCATTTGATTGCTTGATAATCCAAATTTTTATGTGACAACTTAAATGTGGATGGCTTTAACTCTTACCATTATGTAGTAAATAATGGTGACATATTCTTGACTTGACAGTAGTTCAGTAGTTATTGTACATCAAGATTCAACATAACCAGAACTTTATTATTTATTTATCTTTCTAGTTTCTCATTTGAAGGAGACCTATTCAGATGAGTGTAAATGTAACGTGCCCATGTTATAAATCTAGAAATGCTATGGAAATTTAGGAAGAAAAAAAGTTAAAAGTTCAATCTCTTGAAATTACTAGATAATGTTTGGCATCAGTAAGACTTCAATTAAATTTAAAATTTTCTTTGGTTTATGCAAATTGTGTGGTACGCATAAATCTAGAAAAATGACATTTAATTTTCAAAGTTAAGAATTATAACCACTTGAATTTTCAATGCGGAATATAGTCAATGATAGAAAATTTGAGGGGCCTTCATCTAGAAGATGCTATGGAAATTTAGGAAGAAAAAAAGTTAAAGTTCAATCTCTTGAAATTACTAGGTAATGTTTGGCATCAGTAAGACTTCAATTAAATTTAAAATTTTCTTTGATTTATGCAGATTGTGTGGTACGCATAAATCTAGAAAAATGACATTTAATTTTCAAAGCTAAGAACTATAATCACTTGAATTTTCATTGCGGAATATAGCCAATGATAGAAAATTTGAGGGGCCTTCATAGACTAACCTTGCCTAACTCTATTACCATTTCACTATAAATATACAATTTCGTTTATCTAAATTTTTCTTCCAAAAACATTTGAAAATTTTCTGAAAGATTATTACCAAAAAAAATAAACGTTTATTTCCATAAAACAATTTAAAATGGCTTCTCTTACGCGTGCTATGATGTTAATGGCAATTTTTGCATCATTTGCCTCCGTTGCGTATTGTATTGCTGGAACTGCTACATATTACACTGTCTATAAACGTGAGTTTATTATTTATTATATCCTTCGTCACTTGAGTTTATGCAACAGCTTGTACAAACCCTCGATCTCATTGGTTCACGTAATTAATTTAATTTCTTGTCTCTTTTATAATCAACTTAGTTTATAATAAAATTAAATTCTTAATTCCTAAGTGTTTTTCATTTTCTTCATAGTAGTAGCCTACTAGTGGGTGATACTATATGCCCTCTTCCTTCTTTTTTTTTTCCCGTAAACTATTGCCTTTTGATAATGTTCAAATATTTTACATTAATAAACATTAATTTTATGGATTCGTTAAAAAAATAGTATTTTAATACTCCGTAATGAGTTACACTAAGGGGCCGTTTGGTTCGCACGGGGGAATCGGAATGGAATGAACAAAGAGAATGAAAGAGAATGGAATGAAAATCCATTCCATGTAGTGTGTTGTTTGTTTTAAAAATATAAAGGGAATCACCCCACCACAGCACCACCACCAACACCGCCACAGCACCACCATCAACACCACCACAGATGAATGTCGCTCTTCAATCGATTTTCTTAGTCCTTGAAATATCGTTCCCCCTAAATTCATCTTACCTCCATTGTCATCTTCATCTTCATTATGCTTTTTCTCCTCATCCTTCTTATCCTCCTTGCTTGTAAACCATGGCGATTCTTCTCTGGCTCTTTTCGTCATCAATTACCTTCGCCTTCGAAGGTCAGTTTCTCCTCTCTTCTCCTCTTTTGATTTGATTTCAATTCGTTTTTTTAGGGTTCTTTTCGGAATGATTGATTTTGATTTTTCTTGTTTTTGCTTGATTTTGATGTTGCATTAGGTTAGGGTGATCGTGTTCAGTTGATTTTAGATGATGATGATGATGAGGTTTTGATCCGGTGTTGCTGGGTGATGGAGGAGGTGCGACAACCTCCAGCAAGGGGTGAGGGAGGTGCAAACAAGGGCAGTGAGGAGGTGCGAGCTTACCGGAGGTCGGCGAGTGGCAGAGAAGGGACGGCGATGGCCGGGGGAAAAGTGGTGAGGTGGCTGGGTGGCGGTTGTGCGGTGGGGGTAGGGTAGAAGGGTGGTGGCTGGTGTAGGCATGGTGGTGTAATGCTGGCTAAGGAAAGGGAATGGAAAAGGCTAAAGGGGGTGGGGAATGAACTTAGAGGGATTTGGGGAATGAAGGGGGTAAAGGGGAATGGAAAAGTGGCCTAACAAACAACAACAAAGGGAATGATTCCCGTTGATTCTCATTCCCTTTGTTGAATACCCCCAACCAAACGGCCCATAAGTATATAGTTAAAAAAAAAAATATATAGTCACCGTAGTTGATTGGAACTTTATGGATTCGTTTCTATATATAATTTTAATTCTATACATAATTTTAAAATATTAATTTTAATTTTTAAATTTTAATACTCCGTAATGATTACCATAGTATTTTAATGATAAAACAATATGATCGATTCATTTTTTATATATAATATGAACACAATAATTAGTCTTTTAATATCTACAATGTAAATATAATTTTTGATATTTTTAATCCAACATAAAAAAAAATTATTTTTTTGAGAAATTATAAAATAAAAATTACATAAATGAGACTAAAAATTGGATAAATAAAAAAAATTTAATCATACTATTTATACCAAAAATAAAGAAACATGCTTTATTATTTGATAAAAAAATAAGTCAATTATGAACTGCATAATCATTAAAACATTGTGGTAATCATATTTCAAACGACTATGTGCTATAAAATTTTCAGTGGAAGTTCAATTAAGTTTAAACAGTCAGTGTACTTCAATCCAATTCTATTCCATTAACATGTTATGTAGTATGACTAGTATACTAGTATCTCCCTTTCATTGTTATGTTTTGTTGAACAGCATCATCATGTTATGGTAATGAAGACCAAGGGACAATGATAGCAGCCGTAAGTTCAGACATTTTCCAAAATAAGCAAGCCTGCGGTCATATGTACCGTGTTACATGCACCGGAGCAAATTGTCGTGGTGGTAGTGTTACTGTCAAAGTTGTGGATCTTTGTCCTGGTTGCTCAGCTAATGGCTTTGACCTCTCTCAAGAAGCCTTCTCCGCCATCGCCGACATTAACGCTGGTAGAATTAGCATCGACTACACCCCGTAAGTCTTCCGTTCATCATATCGAACTAGGTGGCTTTTATTGAGTACTCAACAACAACGTTTTTAGTTTTATTGAAATTTTGAGAGCTGACCGTGCTAAATTTCTTTTTAAAGAGTCCGTTATAATAATCTTAATATTTTTTTTTTGATTGAATGAAATAAAAGGGAAATACAAATTGTTTCGGATGAAAACAATCGAATCTCGGAAGATCCTTTTATCTTGAGGGAACTTGGTCTCGGTCCGAACGACGCAGGAGCCGAGGGTTTCCTGCACAACAAATACACGTAAACTAGCCTCGGGGGGACGCCGAGGAAGGCCCCTCCGATGCTTAAGTCAGTATATTAGAGAGAGAAAGCTGTGCAAGAGTTTAGTTGCTTGAGGCTTTTTTGTCTTACCAAGAATTGACCAAATTGTTGGCTTTTATACCTTGGCTAATGAAGGAGGCGGATTGGGCCCGGAAGTCAGTTGGGCTGGGCCAAGCTGATTGGGCCGTTGACTGACCTTGACATGGCTTTGAGGATGTTGATTTTTGACTTTAGCACATTTGGAGAGTTGAACCTTAACCTTGGGCTTTTAATTGGATCATTCAGTGACCAGGCCCAATTGGACTAAATTGGACCCAAACAACTTGCCCCCCAGACCCGATTTGGAAGGATGACGGGTCGGGTTTGATTTAATCAGAAAAGGAGGGAAGTGAATGATTTGTTAATCCAAAAATGTGAATTTAAACCGTAATTAACCCATGATTAATGAGATAACAACAGTTAATGTGGATAATTGCGGAAGTTGGATGGGTAGTGGGCGATTTAACTGCAAGGTCGTGTGTTTAACGGTTACTTAGTGGGGTGCTTGAGAGAAATTGAAACGCAGACTCCTTGAATTCCCATTTCTGGAGATATAAATAGAGGCGCGTCTTCTCTCCCCACTCACTCATCAACACAAACCCAGAATTCTCAAGAACGCTCAAGAGCCCGCATCAAAACTTCGCAAATTCCCCGAGCATTAAGCTTAGAAGCTGAGACTTGTCACTACCAATTCGTAAATCGGCGGCTTTTGCTTCAGATCAAGGTAAATTCCTTTGATTTTATTTCATCTTTCTTCGACTTTGCACTCTTTCCCCTTTTTCGACTTTTTCCTTCGAAATTCGTCAATGGTGAGGGGAGTTAGAGGTGGAGCCCGTGCTCCAAGAAGAGCAAGGCTAATCCCCGATCCCAGGGACAGGATTGGGACCTGGAATGGACGAAGGACAGAGTCTGACCCTGCTGAAGGGGTTAGGGCGACTCCCATTTCTTCGGCTCCTCCTCAGAGAACGGATGAGCCGAGTGCTTCTGGACGGGACGATGAAATTCCCGCTGTCCTTTGGGATATCCTCCCTGGGTTTTCAGAGTGGGAGAATGCCGAAGTCGCTTCGGCCATGATAAAGAACCGCCCCTACTCATGGTGGGTAGAGAACGCCGATCAATATCGATTTGCCGAGCAAATTGAGTTGCACTACGGCATTTTTGAAGCTGATGGATATTGGTGCCGAATGCCCTCAGCATCCGATAGAATCCATCGTCCACCCCCGGGGTATGTGGGGGTGTACACGAGACAGCTTCAGTATGGGCTGAGGTTCCCTTTGGACGTTTTCGTCCGAGACTTGCTGATCCATTACAACATTTCCCTGTGCCAGCTGACCCCCACCAGCATCCGAAGGGTAATGACGTACTTATGGGTCTGCAAATTCTTCAGGTACGTGCCGAACCTGCATTGCTTCAGAAGGCTCCATCGGCTAGTGCCAAACATTCAAAGTGGGCACGGATGCCATGGCTCTGGGTGGTATCGGATTGAGTCTCGGCCCCCGTTCCTAACCATGTGGCCGAACGACTCTTCAGACAAGGACTGGAGAGGTCAATGGATTTGGGTTAGGGCACCCACGGAGCCGAGCCACCCTTACGTTTTCAGCGCTCCCCGGTATCTTGCCGAGCCGGATCCTGATATGGGAAGTTTAGGTCCTCCCGAAGATAGCGGGCCAGACCCGAACCTTAATCAGCAGAACATCTTCGGCAAGCTGCCGAACCGGGGAGGCAGCGGCCGAATGCAGCATATCCCGGAGACTTGGCTCCCCGATACGCACTATGTTTTCCAAGAGAATATGCTGGCAGCTGTCGGCCTCAGCCGAAAGTTTAGGGATGGTAATCTTCTTCGGCTGGGGCCGAGGCCTTTTAATTATCTCTTTTCTTCTTTCATTTTGCTTTCTTGTGATGTGCCGAACTAACTGAATTGACTTCTCCCCTTTTCTTTTTCAGAACGGGACGAGACCAACGTCGGCATTGATTACGCTCGCCTTGGCGTCAACCGAGAACGAGTCGTAACTGATCGGGCTCCCCCTATCACTGAACCAAGGCGCCGAGAGGTTCACCTAGACTCTTCCCACTTCCAAATTGAGGCTGTTGCTCTGTATCAGAGGCAGAAGCCTTGGTGGAAGAAGAGGGATCCCTTGTTTCAGCTGCTGGAAGAAGAAGCTGAAGCTGCCCGTACAGCCGAAGAGGTTGCACGGGTTATTGAAGCTTGTGAAGGTGGAGAAGGGTCCTCCAGAGTTGCTGAAGAAGCTGCGGCTAGGGCAGCTGAAGAAGACGAGGCTTTGCTGAAGACCTCGGTGAGCCTTTAGACTTAACTTTGTCTTTCTTCTTCTTTCTTTTTTTTTTTTTTTACTCACACTCTTCTTCCCCCCTGTCTGTTACAGTCTGAAGAGAGTAACAGACACAGAGAAGGGAAAGCCCCTGTTCGTCCCGAAGACCAAGTACAAGAAGAGTCTTCAGACTCGGGTATGGACGAGCAGCCGCTTCAGAAGAGGCGCCGAAGAATGGCCATCATCGGCCCGCATGACTTTCAGCGGAGGCCGATGACCCTCGGCGTTGAAATAAGGGAACCCGGGGAAGGCAATGGATCGCCGAGGGTTCCCCGGCCACCGCCTCAATCACCCCCAAGGGCCTCTCCGCCACCCCCCGAGATGGAGGTGGATCAGAGAACTCCCAAACCTAAGGGAGAGGTTCTGGAAGAAGCTCGAGAGAGTGCCGCCGAGGACAAGGATGGAGACGCCGTGATGCCCAGTGCTGAGGGTTTCACGGCGGACATTGCCAGAGAGGTTGGGGCCTTCGTCCTCACACCTGAAGAAGAAGAGGTCACAATAATTGACTCTTCTGAGAAGGAGGAGGACGTTGAGCCACCCAAAGCTAAAGAGGCTCCATCGTCATCCTTCCCTTCCTTCCAGACGCTGCAGTCTGGAGAAATGGGTTTCTCGGCCCCCCGAATTCCAGTCCCAGACCACATCTGGGACCTCATATGGGGTCAGAACCGAGAAGGTGCTGCAGCCTACTTCGGCGATTTTGCTGGCCTGTCCGAAGTAGATAGGGCAAGGATTTGGTCGCTGAAGGCCACTGCTGGGATGGGCGAATCCAGCAGATCAGTTCCTGACCCTGCCAGGTCCAACCAACTGCTGATGATGCAGGTAATTCTCCTTGCCTTGATTTCTTTCTGAACTCAACCTTTCAGCTATTATTTTTTACTTTTTTAACTTGTGCCCCTGTTTTCAGTTCGTGCACAATCAGACTCTCACTGTAGAGCTGATTGATACCCTACAAGATAGGGTTGACGCTGCTGTGCACGAAAGGAAGGTGGCTGAAGAGGAAGTTAAGCTTGCTAAGCTGAAGCAAGCAGCAGCTGAAGAGAAGCAGCAGGAGGTTGAGGAGTACGGTAAAAAAGCTGCCGAAGCTCTGAAAACCTTCTGTGATGCTATGGAGATGGAGGTTTTTCCCCCACTGATGGAAGGGGAAAAATTCCTCCAAGAGCACCTGGGGGTGGACATCTCCAAGTTCAAGGCTGCTATCGAGAGCCGAATCCAAGGAGCTGCTGCACAGGCTGAGGTGCAGCATCAGCTAGAATCTCTTGAAGCCAGCAGAATGGCTGCTGAAGAGATGCTCCAAGCTAGGGATGTCCAACTCTCAAGGGCTGCTGCTGCTGCTGAAGCTCAAAGAGCTAAGCTACAAGAGGCTGAGGATCAGCTCACTGCCAAGAAGGAAGAAATGGTCCAAGTTCAGGCCGAGGCTTCCCAGGTTCAGCAAGAGTTTACCGAGCTGAAAGGCTCCTCCTCCAAGCTCGTCGATGAGCTGAAGAGATCCGAGGAAGACTTGGAGGAGACGAAGAAGAAGTTGGCCGATGCTGAGGCTCTACTCAAAGTCCGTATCTATACCCAAGAAGAGTATGAAATGGGTTTTAGAAACGGGTTCAGAGTGTGCCGAAGGGTCTGCCTTCATGCTGAGCCGAAGCTGGACTGGTCCAAATGTGCTGAATGGGTCCAAGATCCCGAAGACCCTCACATGAAGTATGCCACTCCAATCGAAGCTGAAATCCTTAAGGCTGAGGAAGCCGAGGAAGAAGCTGAGAGGATGGAGTTGGAGGCTGAGCAGAGGGAAAGGGAGGCTCGGCAGAGTGCAAAGCCTGCTTCTTCTGCTGCTGGAGCTGAGACCACCATTGGGCCCAATGAAGCTGATCAGTCTGATCCTCAGGCTGAAGCATAGGAACTCGGGCAGTCGTCTTCAGAATCTTGCGGTTCATCATGCGCTCAACTTTAGACTTGCCGCTTTCTGAATTTTTGCCTTTTGTTTTTTTTTGCTTCAGCTTGCCTTATCGTACAACAGCTTATTATATTTTTATTTTGCCTGTACGTATTTCGGCAGCTGTTACTTTCCGCTTGTGGGCGGCTGCCGACTATTTTTGTAATTCAACATTTTTATTTCAAAGAAGTTCACTTTCTCAGCTTTCTTGTGTATATTTTTTTTTCTTCGCTTTACCAGTCTTCGCACTTTACTGCTTTCTTTGAATGATCTTTCAAATATTTGCTAAGTGCAGAACTTCGGCTAGCGAGAATCATTTCTGCTGAGACTTCTTTTTGCCGTTTGTACTCGGATGTTTTCAACTTGTGAAAAAACTGACATAAGTATCAAACTTCGGCTGAGCT